CCTAAGATTTTGGTTTGCACATTTCTTTTCAAAATATTATCAAGTGTTCTCTTGCCAAAATGATCACTTACATTTTCCACCTATGCTGAGAAATTAATTCAACTGGATAGAACACAGTTTCATTCCCCTCATCAAAAAGAGAAACACAACCCTGAGTGCAGTATGTACGGTAGGAAAAGAACTCTATCTCTGAATTTCAGCAAGCCAATTGAAGGCTCCTCACAAATTTCCTCAAGAAATCCACAAAACATAGATAAAATAACGTAATTCTTTTTTTGTATATCTGCCTAAAATTATGTGATGTGTGTATATATATATACATATATATATTAAATAGTATTTTTTCCAATTTAGATACATACATAATTTTCTGCAAAACAAATATCTTGGCAAATTTTAATTTACATAAGAAATGCTTATTTTGAGAATTTTGTAAGAATGGTTTTGTGATGACATCCTTAGGGAATATCAACAATAGAAACACTAAGAAAAGAAAGGAAGAAGGAACATGGATTTCAGAAAGCTACAGCACAACAATAGCACAAAGGCTGTCTAGAACTGGATGCTGAGGCAGCAGGTGAGTGGTTATGGGTGGCAAGAAGGAGACAATAAAAGGAGAGGCTAGAGAAAATATAATTTTCACTTCTGTCTTACCTCTCCCCAGAGTCGTCTAGGGACACCGACCACCTTCCTCTCACTGTGGATTAAAGCGCCATGAGACTAGACCTCTGGATGCCTCTTTTCACCAGATGGGGTAGGAAGGTGATGACAACAGGGGCAGGCCAACTCCTCAGTCAATTTTTCCCTCCAGGTCCCACGTATTGATAGATTAAAACATTAGGAAATCTCATTGCTGCTAATCGCAAAAGCTTTGAGAAAAATTCTGAACAGAGGAGTGACCAAGAGTGGTTCATGTGGTGACGGCAGTTCTGTGCCTCCAGATACGGCCTCTTCCCTCTTCTAAAATTCCGTGGGACTGACAGGCACCAGGCCTAACCTCAGGCTGTTTCTCCAGGAAACACACCAAGACAAAGTGGCAGGACTTACTTACTCATCTCCACATAAATTCACAGGCTAAAATAAGTAGGCCCTGGAGAGCTACAAGGCCAGCACTCTGAAAGCACCAGCCACTTCCTAAGTGAAAGACATGGCATTTTGCTCCTGTAAACAGTTGTAGTCTCAGAAACTCCCGGGGCAGTTCACTTGTCTCCTACAGGGTTCCTACTCCATGGCAATGAATTTGGTTTGGGTTTGAGATCGACAGTCACGTCAAAGAACTTTCCCAAAAAGCAACAGGGAATGAGGAAGAGATAAGAAGAAAAGAAAACTAAGGCAGGTGAAAGGTGGGAGGAAAATGTTAAACTCCTATTGATAGAATTCACAGAACAAGTCATGTTTTTAGTAGAGGAAAAAAAAGATAAAATAAGGTGAAAGTTCATTTAGGATCATTTTCCTCCCTAATGGAAAAATGCTTGTTGACCTCTATTAACCACAGCACATTTTCGCACCTCAGAAAATACTGACATTCTTTGAAAAGAAGAGTCTGAGAATGACCAAACTGGTGAGGGGATTCCAGTACTGACTGTTCTAGATCTGGCCTGAGTTTCTTTATTTGTCAAAAGTAGTGTTAAAATTTGATAAACATTGTATAATCAGGTCATTGTGCTGCAGACAATTATAGGGAATATCTATAGAATTTATATTATTTTATTTCAAAGAAATTTAATATGAAGTTGCTAGTAATAACAAAATTTCTATTTTTTTAAAAGTACAATGTTAAAAATCTAGATGATTTACTATGACTTATTATAACACTGGTTATGAGTTGAGAATAGTCTACTTATGAATTTGTTGGCATTAAAATTCATTTGGTATTTTTGAGTTTCAAAAATAATGCCTGGCTATTAAAAAATGGTTTATAAGCATGCATACTTATATTTTTACTTTCATATATACATTCACATTGTCTAAGTTTGAGGACCACAGTCAAATAAGGAAGTCAAAATTCCCCAAATTTATCATCTACTAAACTCTATTTCAAACCTCACAAGAAAAAGCCATTTTTATGTAGTCTGAACTAAGTATTAAAGACATAATAAAATATCACCACTTTTTACAAACATATACTATTTTTCCAACTACTAAAATTTTGAGAAACCCTTTCATCTTTTCAAAATAGTTTATGGGAATATACTTCACATATCATACAATTTAATCATTCAATCACATTAAGAAGAGTTGTGCAATCATTGCTATATTTTCTTTTTATACTCATTGTTGTTACCTCCCATTTCACCCCAGGCTACCCTGCCATACTCCAAGGTTTTATTAATATAGTTAATTTATATAGTTACTGTCCCTATAGATTTACCTATTCTGTTTCATATACAGAAAATTATACAAAACACAAAAAGGGAGCAAGAAACAAAAAAAATCAAAACTGACAAAACACAAGAGAAATACTTCAATTGAAAAGAAAGAAGAACATTTAAAAACTGGAACAGCTTTAACATTGGTCAAAAGAGAAAAACAAATGATAAGGTGTTAATTTTAACTTAACTACATTTGCCATAATCGATGTCACCACAGTCTCTGATAACAAGACTCTTCACATAGCTGGAGCAGATTCACTGGAAGCTTAATCCATGTGGGGACCCTGCAAAAGGATTTTGGGCTTCCACTGGCATCCATATCCTTCTGTAAGCTGGGTTGTTTGCAATTTAAGCTCTGTTATCGTTTGTTATTTGCAGTCTTTGGATCATACAGGCCAGTGTACTTCTTCCATGTGGACTTAGTTGATGCCTCACTTAGATGGCAGCTTCTTTTAAGATAAGCCTTTAAGACCCTGGATGCTATTCTTTCTTTAGTCAGGAACCATCTGGTGTCTTCACCACACTTTGCTATAGCACCCATATCTTTAGTGATCTCTTCCTGAAGGTGAGTATCAAGTAGAGCTAACAAGAAAGAACTAATTGCTCTTAGATGGGGGTTAGAATTAAGTGTGAATCCAAATTACACTAATATATCTATGGTTTATTTATGTCTCTGCTTCACTGCAGAGAGAACATTATAATTTTATGTTGGAGAACACTATAAAACACCCCCCTGGGACATACGGTGAGTCTATTGATTGATAGTGTCACAAATTTAATCAATACACTGTTGAGAAAAAAAGAGAAAAGTATAGGTCAGTTGTTCAGACTGCAATACATGAATTTCTGACTTGTACAGATTAAACCCTTAAGTGACTGGACATTATTTACATGCACAATGGGGGTTGAAGACAGGACAGAATTTTCAATATCACAGCTTCACAAGAGAAGAATCATGCTTACCAGACATGTATTAAAATAGTAAATATATAGTAATCCCAGGCCACCATTCATTGGGAACTCTCAAAGCAAGAGAGCTATACCAAAGTCACAAGACCACCATTTCTATAACCTTGGGATAGCAGACAACTGTTTCTTCTCAAATTAGTTGTTTCAGCCTTGAGTCCAAGGGACTATGTCAGTTCCTCGAATCTGCTGCAGGTGAGCTTGAGGTAACGTGCAGTTCACTTAGTGGGGTTTCCATATTGAATCCTTCTGGTGAGGCTTTTGAAGGATGCTGTGTGTCTGGAAAAGACAGCCTAAGTCCCATGTGCCTGTAGAACATGGCCTGATTCATCAAGGGCTGGATAGAAACTGGGGAGGGTGGAGGGAAGGTGGGGTAGAGAGGGGGAGCCGATTATAAGGATCTACATATAACCTCCTCCCTGGGGGATGACAACAGAAACGTGGGTGAAGGGAGACATCAGACAGTGTAAGATATCACAAAATAATAATCTATAAGTTATCAAGGGTAAATGAGGGAGAGGGCAGCTGGGAGCGAGGGTGAAAATGAGGAGCTGATATCTAGAGCTCATGTAGAAAGCAAATGTTTTGAGAATGATGAGGGCAACAAATGTACAAATGTGCTTGACATAAATTGGATGGATGGATGGATTGTGATAAAAGTTGTATGAGCCCCCAATAAAATGATAAAGAAAAAAAGAAACTGGGTCAAAAGTGTCCAATTAGGAACATAGTAAGGGGTGTATTTTTTCCTTGGGTTCTGTGTCTGGAAAATGAGCAGCTGCAGCAGTTTGAATTCATGCAGAGTCAGGTGGTCAGAGCACCGAAGAACAAGGCGTCCTTTGCACCTAGCAACGCCCACGGAACTGGTTCCGTGTTCACCAGGTTGCCACGGCCTGGCGCAAGCCGTCTACACTACACGGCGCAAAGCACGCAGCAGCACTGAACGTCCAGACGCCTGCGCAGCCGTCAGTGCGGCCGCGGCCTTTACGACCGCCCTCCAAGGATCGTGCTCACTAGCCGCCCACGGCCTTGCGCAAGCCGTCTACACGTCTGCACTGCGCAACTCACGCAACGCACGCAGCAGCACGGAAAGTTAGACGCCTGCGCAGCTATCCGTGCAGCCACAGCCTTTACGACTGTTGCGGAGGATCTCCGACCGCCCTCCGAAGACCGTGCTCACTAGCCGCCCACGGCCTTGCGCAAGCCGCCTACAAG